ACAAGCCTGGCATGAATTATTTAATAATGAAGTTAAATGTTCAATCAGCAGCAAACGTTCTCCTCTGAACCAATGAGCCGCTTTGTTTTTCTGACGTCCTGCGGTTCCTGTTTGTTCCTGCAGAGGGCGGCGCAGCTCCACAGTCACAGCATCACCTGATCTGTTCTCATCAGGAAACACAGACTTTAAAACACACAATATGCAACAGCAGCAGACACACACTAAACACACCATGTCTGCAGCTCATTCATTCACATTCATGACTGTTTTTGTTCAGAATTTAAGGAGAAATAGAGTTGAGTCGTTGCATCTTACATCCTAACATCAGCAGGCTTTTCATTCAAATTAAATATTTCATTTATCCATCTAACCTTTATTTTACCAGGTGAGTTAGTTGAGAACTGCGTCTCATTTTTAAATAATCAACTAAACATGCAGAAATGTCAGAAAGAAAGGAAGTTTTAATACTTTGGATGATATTTGAATATGACTTCCTGATTAATCGATTAGTTTGGTCTAGAAAAGAAAAGGGACTTCCGACCAATTAATCAATTATCAGAATAGTTAGTGACTACTTTAGTGGTTGAAAACTAATTAATTTGTCATTGGAGCTAAAAATAAATAAAGCACAAAAAAAGCATGAAAGTGTGTTTTATAGTTTTTTGCTCTTAAACTTTTGCTTTGTTTTTATTTCATCTGCATAACGTTTTTAACATATTTTAGGTTCTTGTGTTTTAATATTCGTCAGAATCCACTTTTGTTTTTTGTATGTTTTTTGCTTATTTTGCAGTATTTTTGTTGTTCTTTTTGCAGTTTCTTTTTTTCTAAAACTCATATATTAATATCACAGTAAACAGAAATGACTTATTACAGATGATGTTCTCAACCTGTTGAACAGTTTACAGCTGTTTCCATCTGGATCAGATTTAGTCATTGTGAATATTTGACCTTTTGTGATGTTGTGTGAACTCACCAGATATAATTAAACTAAAATCAAACTCGTCTAAAAGTTCTGTGTGCCGTTAATATTTACAGTAGAAACCAGACGTTTACATCCACTGTATAAAAAGACATAAAGCCTTTTTTTTTTTCTCACCGTCTGACATTAAATCAGACTAAAGTCTTCCTGTGTTAGATACGTTAGGATTAACTAAAGACGTAAAAGTGCTCATGCAGAAACTATAATGTATTATTGCATTTTAATTATTAATACATTACCGTGTTTGTCACTTTATATTTAGGGATCAAAATTGTTTTATTTTAGTCTTTTAATAAGGCACATTTAGGCTTTGAAAAAATTAGACTCATGATTTATTTGTTGATTGTATTATTTTATTGTCTAATTTTGCAGATTATTTAGCAATTAAAGCTATTAAATGAATGGAATGAAATAGCAGAAAATGGAAATACTTCATTAAAGTACTTCAAAACTACACTTAAATATTCTTTACATCACTGTGAGATACTAAGAAACTCAAGACAGACATGAAACCAGAATGAGACAATCTTTATTTTATTAATTCCTTCATACAGCGACATGCAGGTGAGTAATCAGTGACTCAGCAGAAGCAGGTAAATGTCGGTCTTGCTGCTCTGGTCCGATGGTGCCGTCGTCGTCAGCTGCAGGCCCATGGTTCTGTCGATCCACTCGCTGTAGTGGGAGATGATGGTGTAAATCCCAGGTTTTCTCATTTGGCCGCACTTTCTCTCTCCGGTGGACGTGACGCCGACCGCGATGCCGTTGTAGAGCAGCGGGCCTCCGGAGTCGCCCTGAAGGAACACAAAGTAAAGACAGACAAATCAAAACAGAAGAAGAGACGGGCTTAAAATGGGAATCAGAGTGTTTAAACCTGTTTACGTCGTCTACATGGCGACTCCAGCTGAATGGAACTAAAGGCAGCAGCTGCATGCACACACTGGAAATAGAAATCTGTGCTTCCATGGATTGATTTTTACAGATTTTTCCTGTTACTTTACAGGTTCTTTTAGCGTAGAACCATGTTTCTACAGTCTGTTGTTTTACAGTGTACATCAAACCAAAGAAACACGGTTTTACAAGTGTGAGAATCAAATTTTCTGCAGATTTATCCTTTTGAAAAACACAAAAAATATAAATAAAATGACAACACAGNCAATTATCAGAATAGTTAGTGACTACTTTAGTGGTTGAAAACTAATTAATTTGTCATTGGAGCTAAAAATAAATAAAGCACAAAAAAAGCATGAAAGTGTGTTTTATAGTTTTTTGCTCTTAAACTTTTGCTTTGTTTTTATTTCATCTGCATAACGTTTTTAACATATTTTAGGTTCTTGTGTTTTAATATTCGTCAGAATCCACTTTTGTTTTTAAAATCAAATTCAGTCTAAAAGTTCTGTGTGCCGTTAATATTTACAGTAGAAACCAGACGTTTACATCCACTGTATAAAAAGACATAAAGCCTTTTTTTTTTTTTTCTCACCGTCTGACATTAAATCAGACTAAAGTCTTCCTGTGTTAGATCCGTTAGGGTTAACTAAATTATTTCTATTTGCTAAACACCAGAATAATGAGAGAGAGACTTTATTAGAGATTTTTTCATTGTTTTCTTTAAAGTCAGACGTTTACATCCACTAAGGTTAGTATACCTTCAAAATAAAAGCCCAGATGATGACGTCATGGTGATGATATCTAAGTTTGAGCATCAAGCTAAACGTAAAGTACTAGAAGTAATACATTATTGTATTTTAATTATAATACATTATTGTGTTTGTCACTTCAATTAAGCTGATTATTTCTTTTAACAAGGTGCCACTTTTGGGCTTTTAAAAAATTATTCTCATGATTTATTTGTTGATTGTATTATTTTATTGTCTAATTTTGCAGATTATTTAGCAATTAAAGCTATTAAATGAATGTAGGACAGCAAGAGGAAAATGGAAATACTTCATTAAAGTACTTCAAAACTACACTTAAATACACTTAAAGTACTTGAGTAAATATTCTTTACATCACTGTGAGATACTAAGAAACTCAAGACAGACATGAAACCAGAATGAGACAAACTTTATTTTATTAATTCCTTCATACAGCGACTTGATTAAATGATGTGAACTATATNTAGACACAAAACAACACACACAAGACAGAAACATACCAAAAACAGCAAAAACAAGACACAAAACAAAACAGAACGACAAAATGATGACTAAACCAGACAGCAAGTGACACAAAATGACAAAAACAAAACATAAAATTATGTAAATGAGACACAAAATGATAAAAAAAAAACAAGACAAAATGACACAAATGACACGCAAAAAGATAAAATCAAAACACAAAATGATACAAATGAGACACAAAATGACAAAAACAAAACAAAAAATGTCAAAACCACACAAAACAACACACTCTGTTAGCTCACCTGTGATAACTGGTTCGATGCCAGACCACACACATGGATGAGCAGATATGGATGTCTACACAATCACACAATCACACAATCTCACACACACACACACACACACACACACACACACACAGAGGCTGGGTGGGCTCTGTTGCTCGCGGCGACACGGTTGTAGTTCATCTCCGTGGCAACAACAACGAGCCTCGGGTGACAATCGAAAGTCTGAAGCGCTGCAGCGATTACAACAGAAAACACACACAATCAGACACACAATCAGCTCAGGGTGAGTCGTCACATAAAACACATTAAACGCCCAAATCGTGGCGAAACTCAGCTCGTTAAACGCAGCTGGTTGCTTCACTCTCTGCTTTACAGCAGAACTCTGTGTTCCTGAATTAACTCCTCAGCCTCCAGCTCGGACTTCAACCTGTAATTTCTTTCCATTATCTGCTTCCTAACTTGTAATTGTGAGCGAGTGAGTCACGAGTTAATTGTCGAGGAGCGGGGAAACGCTCCAAAGAGACAAAAAAGAGTCCTGCACAGGTATTATTTCCCCACTTTACAGTAATGAAGCCGCCTGATCACCGTCAGGTCGAATCCCTCCGACACCAGGAAGCTCTGACTGAGCAGCTTCAGTCATCAGAACAGGTCTGTGTCAGAGAAAAGAGCTCCGAAATACTGATAAAGTTTAACATTAGTTCAATTTGCTGACTCAAAACCTGATGTGAACATTTACAAAAGCTTTTAATATTAAAGTCAAATGTTAAATAACACAAGAGTCACAAAACAAACAAACAAAATGACTCAAAACAACAGAAATGAGATACAAGACGTCAAAAACAAGACATAAAACGACACTGATGAGGCAAAGAATCACAAAAACAGGCACATAGCAACACAACAAGACGTAAAAAGACAAACTAAACACAAAATGACAAAAGCAAGACAAAAAACCAAACAAACAAGACACAAAATGACTGAAACGAGATACAAAAATGACAAAAAACAAAAACTTCACACAAAATGATAAGAATGAGACACAAAATAACAAAAACACAACACAAAACAAGGCAAACAAGACATGAAATGACTGAAATGAGACATAAAACGACACAATACACAATACAAAATGACAAAAAACAAAGACAAAATGAAGCAAATGAGACAAAAAATGACAAAAACGTACACAAAACAACACAAACAGGATTCACAATGACACAGCTAGACTCAAAACAACAAATAGCAAGATTTAAGACAAAGCAAAGAAGACACAAAATGACTGAAATGAGACATAAAACGACACAGACAAGACATAAAAGACACAAATGAGAAACAAAAATGACAAAAACTAGAAGAAAAATTATGCAAACAAGACACAAAGTGACAAAATGAGACAGAAAACAACACGAACAAGACTCAAAACAAAAACAAGCAAGATACAAAACGATAAAAACAAAATGTTAAACGACAAAAATGAGACATAAAAGGCACAAATAAGAAACAAAAATTATGAAGAGCGGAAGCAAAATGATACAAACAAGACACAAAATTACAAAAACAAAGACAAAACGAAACAAATAAGACACATTCTGATAAAAATAAGACTCAAAACAAAGCAAACGACACAAACAAATACAAGAAAAAAATAAATATGAGACACTAAAGGCACAAATGAGAAACAAAAATGACAAAAAGGAGAAGCAAAATGATACAAACAAGACACAAAATCTCAAAAACAAAACATTAAACAACACAAACAAAACTCCAAAAAAAGCAAACAAACCACAAAACGACACAAACAAGACATGGAACGACAAAAACCAGACCTGAAAAGATAAAAACGAGACACTAAATGACAAACACAAGCCTGGCATGAATTATTTAATAATGAAGTTAAATGTTCAATCAGCAGCAAACGTTCTCCTCTGAACCAATGAGCCGCTTTGTTTTTCTGACGTCCTGCGGTTCCTGTTTGTTCCTGCAGAGGGCGGCGCAGCTCCACAGTCACAGCATCACCTGATCTGTTCTCATCAGGAAACACAGACTTTAAAACACACAATATGCAACAGCAGCAGACACACACTAAACACACCATGTCTGCAGCTCATTCATTCACATTCATGACTGTTTTTGTTCAGAATTTAAGGAGAAATAGAGTTGAGTCGTTGCATCTTACATCCTAACATCAGCAGGCTTTTCATTCAAATTAAATATTTCATTTATCCATCTAACCTTTATTTTACCAGGTGAGTTAGTTGAGAACTGCGTCTCATTTTTAAATAATCAACTAAACATGCAGAAATGTCAGAAAGAAAGGAAGTTTTAATACTTTGGATGATATTTGAATATGACTTCCTGATTAATCGATTAGTTTGGTCTAGAAAAGAAAAGGGACTTCCGACCAATTAATCAATTATCAGAATAGTTAGTGACTACTTTAGTGGTTGAAAACTAATTAATTTGTCATTGGAGCTAAAAATAAATAAAGCACAAGAAAAGCATGAAAGTGTGTTTTATAGTTTTTTGCTCTTAAACTTTTGCTTTGTTTTTATTTCATCTGCATAACGTTTTTAACATATTTTAGGTTCTTGTGTTTTAATATTCGTCAGAATCCACTTTTGTTTTT